TTGCAGTATCGTTAGTCACAAATTGCCAATTTCGTGATGTTCAGTTTGTTCCTTTTCTTTGACAGTACATTAGCTACTGTACTGAACCTGTACTTGGTATTCATTTTTGAACCCACTTGTACTTGGTATCCATTTGTAAACATCGCTTTTAATTCTTCAATAGTTGAGTGTTCTACAAGCTCTTTTTCTAAATATGATTACGCTACTATATCTGCATTCGCAAAGAGATCTAAAATCCAAATCAGTATATTCATGTTGAAAATATTCTGGGATCGCTCCGCAAAATAAGCATGAAGAACTTGTAAGTGTTGGCAGTAAGTAAATCTTCTTGTTTTGCAGAGACCGTTGTTAATATGGAAAAGTGGCTGTATTCACATCTACCCAGATTTCCGTTGAACAGAAGTTTTTCCACAACAGCTATAACTTTATTTTTAAAATAAAATTAATCTCACTACTTTGCAATTGTAAATTGATTTTGTTAAATATTATAAATATCTCTGTTGAATAAGGGATGCTATGTTTGGGTGTAATCAGGTTTTTGCTCAATATCTCCTCTCTGTGTTCATGGAAGTCCAATCAAACAAATTGAAAAAAAAAAAAAAAAAAAAAGATTTAAATTCAGAAAAAAACAGTTCCTTTTTGGCAGCCAACAAACTATGAATGCAGCAAGAAGCGATTTAAATCTTCATCATTTTCACTACAAAGTAGGCCAAATAATCTATCATGCAATGGATTGTTTCTAGCCTTATTGATTTCTCTAATAATGTAATGAAGCGAGGAAGGCAGGCCGTTCATTCAGAGGTTTTTCAACCAAATGCTGATGATGAATAACACAATATACAGCGAGCACATTTTGTACCGCTTATTTCAAATGCGCTATGAAACCCTTATGACGTCTCGTCGTTGTTGGAGCACCATTAGTTGCAACTGACCAAATATTACCAATAAGAATTTCTTTCTCTTGAAAAAACTTGTATATGATATTAGATATCGATTCTCCCATTCTATCGGTTTTCAAATTTTTAGCAAATACTAACTCTTCATAAATAATTATCTTCTGTTTGGATCGAGCATGGCACCTACAAGTAGGATAAGGTTAAAGAGGCATAAGGCCAATACAGGAAATAAGGAAAGAAGGAGCAAGTCAAGTGGCCAGGGAAAGGAGTTAGTGAAAAAAGAAAATGATAGGAATAGTCTTCAAGGTCGGTCAGCAAACAACAGGTTACCATCAGCGGTCGACGGAAGGGAAGCCGTAATAAGTACGAAACAACGACTCTTAACGAAACAACGACCGCAACCAGAGTTCCACCAGCGGGTCAGCAGGAAAGAAGCCATCACAGCCGGCCGAAGGACACAAGAGTGCTACCCGGCAAGCGACAGAGGCTGGATGATGGGGAACAGGCAGGTGACAGGTGAATGCAGGGCCCGGACATCCGGACGGCTTAATATGACAAATCGGGTGTCGTCCGGTACCCGCACCTATTTAGAACAACACAACCCTGGCGACTTCCTGAAAGGGCTGCATCGAAATATATTAATTGAGAATATGTGTATGACTGGCCAAACAGGGCGTGGCATAATATGCTCAGTATAATAATAAAAGTTTCATACTAGTACATTGGTGGTAAGGTACATGGATACATACGTATATGTGTCTAATGGGTTAGAATAGGCAAACCTAACACTTATACAAAAGAAATGAAAACACTGGCGCATAATCAGAGATGAAATAATGAATACACGTAATCGTGTGTCATCCTATATGACTATACATAAACTACTAGAAATGATATGCATAAACACATACAAATGATGGCGATAGCCAAACGGACGGTATTCCACCGCAGCCCACGGACAACGTGCCCCCCCAAGGGAGAAAAAGATCGCCTTTTTTCCCCAATGGCGGGCGTTTGCCTATGCCGGCATTGACCACTCTTAATAGGTGGGCCACTTTTGAATCCTATGAAGGGAGAGACAATTTTATATCCATGCCTTCTCCGGGATTTGAACCCGGGCCCTTCGGTAGCGCAGTCAGGCTTCCCTAACCACTATACCGTCTGGGCGGCGAAAACGATCAACCTTCCCTTCCTCAGGAAGTCAAGATGGTTAGAGGAACGTTCCAGGAAAAGGAAGTTTGAACCCGTGCCTGATGAACAATGGGCATCCAGACGTCAGCGGGTAGCAATTATAAGAACATTTCCTTCGTGGAATGAGTTTGCAAAAACGCATGACGGACTACGCCAACTTAAAAAGATATGTAAAATTTGACTTCATTTTCAAGTATTCAGTACTGTTATGTCTAAAAGTATTTAAAATGCTTTTTAAGATTTATCTAATTGTTTTGCCTCAAACGAGGTTTTATTACGTACGCAGCAAGTAGCCGAAAAACTTATTCTCTATGAAATTTTTGTTCGCTTTAAGAATTACGCCGTTTGGTCGAGAGACTGTTTTATGCAAGTTGGCGAGATAAAATGATTTATTCCTACTAACTTTGTTTAAATTTTGAATGTAAGAAACTGAAAAGTTGTATATATACATACAGTATTTTTCAACTGTATTTAACGTACATGTGTGTTTCTGAATGCTAAAAATGTGTAACTTTTGTAAATTTAAAAGTTAAATTTAAAAGCTAGCTTAGGTATTTTAAATGCTAGTTAGGCTCTCCTTCTGAACGCAAAGTTGATGCATATTGAATAAGTACTACACTAGGACGAGTTTGAAAATAAGGAGTGTGTTGAAGTCTAGTGTGTCTGAGATTATTAACATGTAAGCTGCCGGTCCGGGGTAGACGTTGTGATTTAAATACACCACTTTTGACTTGTGTTTGAAGATATCAGTATATGCATATGCTGGAGAGCGAAGGATGGAAAAAAGTTAAACTTGTGAAAGTGAAAATGAAAATGCACGAATTGCCTATTCAAATGCATGCATTATAAAAAATTTTCCACTAACATTAGTTTCTCCAGATCCACTGGAAGAACATGAGACTCAACAAATGTTACTAGACAAAATGACAATTATGTTCCTGGAATTTATATTGTTAAATTTCAAATTTAAAGTATTAAGTAGATTTATATTGTAAGGCTGGCTCTGAAAGTTTAAAATTTAGAATTAAAATTTTTCCAGCAGGTTGTTTAAAAACCTTAATTTCAAATATTTAAAATTATGGTCGGAAATATTGTGAGGATTTATTTTATTCTAACCAATTACTTTTAGTTTGACTTTCCTGTCCTTCCTGATTTCAGTTTCCTGCTGAAATGTAAATTTGTTATGACGTAGGATTCGAATTTAAATGTGTTTCAGAAGCAGTATTTAAGCTGCGTGTCAAGAGTTCAAGAAGGGTAGTAGCGGACTTAGTTTCGATGTTTATGCTGCGAGTTTAAAATTAGCTCTCTCGTTTGGAGTTCGACACTTTTCAATTATACTGATATTTCTCGGCTCGGTTTTGCTGTGTGCAGTCGATTTAGCGTTAGTTTAAGCTAAGGAGCCAGTCATTAGATATCTTAATTTACTAGTGATTTGTTACATTCTTATTTTCGTTAAACTACGTAGACACAGGTAGTGGTGATTTGAGAGTACGAAGTGCGTGCATCTGTTTTCATTTAGTTATTTAAACCTTTCTGCTGTAGTATTTATTCTTAAAGACATAGCGAGAATTCGCTACTTCGTCTTCGACGTATAAAGGAATATGTTACTAAAGAATACAGATAGACTCTATAACGTGATACAGTCAAAAGTCGTTAATCCGGACTCGTCGGGACTTCGGCGATTCCGGATTATAGATCATCAGTTTAAATCTGGTAAGATGGCATGCAGAAATTATAAAATTAAAAATATGAAACCGTAATTTATGAAATAAAGAACAATATGATCTAAAGGGTATCAAATTTACAAAAAAAAGAAAAAAAAAAAAAAGCTTAATATTTTGTTTACTTTATAAACATTTCTTTCAATTTAAGTTGCTTCGTTTTTTATGTGATAATACGTTCTCTTTAATTCTATAAACAGACATAATTTCTTGTTCAGTTATAAAGTTCCGCTGTTCAAGTCCTATAATTGCTGTGTCTACCGACTAATTTGTCAATCGAAATTTTTTCGTTTTCGATAACCTCTGTCACTTTCTTCGCTATCGGAAGCGAATTATAATGACGAGGAATTTGATTTAAATCATATCAAAGACTGAGTACATCGAGATGAAATACTACATTTAGAAAGGAATTATAAGCCAAATAAAAAAAATCTGCCCTGAAGATAAGGATAGTGCTGACAGATCAACTTCCAATTCATTGCGCTCCGCGGCGTTAAAGATAAACAAAGTTCAGATAAAAAAACGTTAAAGTTTAGATAAACAAAGGATCTGCCTTTATCCATTTTTTTGCAGCAATTCCACTTTTTGTTTAATGAACTTCGAAATATACTTTCGCTTTGTAGATCCTTTACATATTAATAAATATATCAGAAATTCTATTTGACATAATCGAAAGTTCAAGCTTACTTTATAAAATTGCTCTAAACAGTCTGAAAAAATAATAAGCCGGATCCAATTCGAAGATTAAGGAACAACGCAATCTCAACATTAACTGAAAATATATTAGATAATTTTAGCTTAGCTTATACCGTCCGTTATACATTAAACGCGCACTCGTAAGCGTATTTTGCGCACGCGCACAAGCATATTCGCAGCCGTAAAGGTCTTACGCGCATGCGTCAACGCGACGCATGCGCAGAAAGTTTGTAACTTTGAGGTCCGGATTATAGATCATTCCGGAGTATGGGTGTCCGAATTAACGACTTTTGACTGTATTACTTATCTCCGTTTGCTGTATGAATTGTGATTTATTTCTATAAAGTAACGCTTTCTTCCTGTTCAACTGACGTAATAATTATGGATATCCTTACAAAACCGTAGAGCGCAATAATATATTAAACGCACTTTTTTCTGATGATAAACGAAAAACCTCTTATTAGGGTGTTTTGTATAAAATGCATAATAAAATCAATACCTTATTCAACAAAAATTTAATCTTTCGATTTCTTTTCACATAATAAGAACTTCAATAGCTTAACAAAGACACCGGAAGAAAACGCAACAGACAAAATGACTCCGCATCATTTGGAGAAGTACATTCATTTATACATAAATATAAAATACCATAGCTAAAGAAGAATTCAGTTCGTGCAGTCGCAGTTCTGTTGAAGTCGAACGCCGGTTTTCTAAATCTACGCCTTTTTTTTTTTTCTTTTTTTTTTTGCTTAATTTTTTATGTTGCTCTGCAAATATGTGCTCAGCCATAGTAGCGCTACTTTCAGACATTCATCGAATTCACAGACACTTTTCCCCGTTGTAAAATAAATTTAAGCATTTTTGATAATTTTGATATAAATTATCGTGGAAATAATATTCATTTTTAAGGCAACTTAACTTAATTTAAATATAAAACAAATACTAACAGAACAATTTTATTTATTCATTGATATCTGCAACACTAATTTTTTCTTGAATATACTTAGTAAAATTTGATGCCTTTTATAATTAAGTGCGCTGAAGTTATTTTGCAAGAATAAAGAAGACCGTGAATTATTCAAAATTTCCACACTTTGATGAGCTAGAAAAATGGAATAAATAACATTCCTGGAATTTTAGGAATCCTACGTCCTTATCAAATGCGGTGTTATTCAAAAAAATTCTCTGATACTGGATATGGAAATTAGACTTTTTTTTTTTTTTTTTTACGTTTGGATTTTGTATCCCGCCATAAAGTATTGCTTCTGAATAACCTTCAAATTTGATGTGCACTCAACGTTGCATCCAGAACCTAAAGCAGCTGCGCAAGGCAGTTTGCTTACAAAAGGGGTTGTTAGGGGTAATTCCATTTGAAGTCTCAATATTACCAAATTCTGACCAATAAAAATGATTACAATTTATTCGTTGATGATAAAACTAGCTTAGCTCACAAAATAATGCATAGGAAGTATTTAATAAAGAATTTTTCATCTTGGTTAACATTTTTGCTGTGGAAAAATTTGGTATATAATATTTTTAGTAAATAAGGATTTATATCTGTCGCTTCATTTTCTATGTAAGTGGCAAATCCATTGCAATGCTGATGTTGCAATGATGAAGAATGTTTGTGACTCACAAAAAAACTAATTGAGTGAAAGCTATCTCCGAGATTTTCAAAATAAAATTGATTTGATTAATTAGTGACTTATTTAAACAGATATTTGACAGATGTGGTTATTAATTTTTATATCTTGTGTTCTTATTTAGTATTACACATAAATTTCATCAAAGAGAACCCTGAATGTGCTTCGCTTAGAACAAACCTTGAACAAGACATATATTTTACCTCCTAATCCTATAATTACTACTGTGTTATAAATATAAGAATTTAAGCTATAATTTAAATGTAGTAGATTTTAATTAGATAAAAAATTTCTAGAATCACATTGCCTAGTATTATGTTTGAAATCCAAAAATGTATGTTCAACGTTGTATTTGAATTCACAGAGAAATTAATTAAAAACATAAACATTTTATCACATTAAACAATTAATTTTCATTCTTGAAATTATTCATTGCCTGAAGGTTCGTTTTCATCCACTGCTACGGAGGTCTAAAGGGGAAGAAAGTATATCAAAGAATGCTTTAACAAAAAGTATAAATTACGTCTAGTTTTTCTCAGAAATATAACGGTGATGGATGTAATTAGTGATAACTTAACACTGAATACTATGCACATTCAATTGAATTCAATCCTTTTGTACTTATACTCTTTGGCTGCTCGAAAATTGTTTAAGTTCAATTTTTATTCCTGTAGAGGGCGCTGTGATTATACGTAAGAATTTGTTTTGAGTCTGGAACTTGAATTACGTAAGAATGGTTGCTTGTTTATAGGTGGCATTTAATTGATTAATCTATTGCATCTTAATTTAGATTTTATTATTCTGTGTCACTTTATATCTTAATGCGGTGAATCGTTTGGATTATTACTATACCTAAAACGCAAATGAGCTCTAACTTCTTCATTTGACATATTAGATTACATCGAATGCAAGCGAAGATTAAAATGAACAGAGAATAAATTAAACTTTCCATGAAACTGTAATGAATATTTTAGCTAAATTACTTAACGATAACAGAAAGTACATGGTTTATTGTTCATACCTTTCAATTCTAACGAAACGGGACACGGTGTATATTTTTACCCTCTGTTTTTAGCTATAAGTATAAATAAACCTGATTTTTAATCTATTTTAACCTAATTAATAATGAATTCTATAATGCTGACTCTCCTACAATCGTATTCCATTTGCTGATATATTTCTTATTCAATAATATATTATATGTTATAGACATAGGTAAAAGAAAAAAATGATTTTTTACATTAAAAACAATGAATCTCTGCGCGGTTTACATGTAAGTTGTAGAATGCACTCTAAAAATCATTTACACATGGCATATTTTATCATCTGTTTCAGGAAGAATGGTGTGATGAATATACAAAAGTCTTACTTAGTCATAAGAAATATCTGATGTTTAGGATCATTTTATCGTTACTAATTTTAAATAAACATTTTAGTGAAAATATAACATTTAGAATTTATCCCGTCTAGATTATGAATGTGCTAAACTTTGATGCAGAAAAAAGTGAAAAACTTTCTGAATCCGATGAATGTCTGGCCTTCTGTTCCTTCGCTCGCTTAATACTGCTGTACTTTATCTCCAGAGTCGGCGTTCTGCTATGGATATCGACTTAAATAAATGTAAAAGCTCGTAGCCTATTGTAGAGTATGAAGAACTTCGAAGTAAGGCAGAGTAATCAGCAATTGCATTTGTAGACTTCTTGTTGCTTTTGTTGGGTCAAGTGCGCTTTGTCCCATTGAAGTCGCTCGATCTCGTCAAATTTGCTCGCCTGAAACAAATAGAATCAAAGTATCAGCAAAGTTATACAGTACTGACATTTTAGGCATTTTACTATGAATTCTACGAGTATAGTTTTGCAAAGGAATCAGCCGGAGAGATTTGGATGGTTATTAATGCTCCAGAAATCCTTAGCAAGATCTTTGAAAGCAAGATAATTATAAATCACAAATTAGTTAGTTAAGATAAGTTAGAGTTAGACGATTTTAATACAATAATTTGCTTCTTCTGGATGACTGAAAAGATATGAGAACAAAAGAATTTTTTTAAAAAAGTCTTAAAATCTAAGCAACTACTTAAACAGCACTTTGCAGTACTATGTACCTCCATAAAATATTTTTCCCTAACACCTTCTACTATGGTTCGAAAGTTTGAAGGAATACAAGAAATAGCAAGATAACATACGAGAACATGAATTCGACTGAAAAACGTTTCATTATAGGAATTAATATTGGCCAATTTAAATACAGGACAGATTTCAAAGGTGCTTCGTAAATTCACTTAAAAGAATCTAAGGAACTATCGCATTCCGTCTCGTGCTGTAAATGGTAGCACGTTCTATTAGAAAATGGAAGATTAGCAGTTTGAATCTTGGCGAGGGCATAGCTGTTTTCTTATTACTCCTGCTTCGTAAAGAATGATAAATATCTACAGTGGCTCCAGAGCTAAAGTGTAGTGGAAAAAATCTCGTCATCATCAGGATGTAGTCTACTGTCTCTACCTTAAATCTGCTCTTTAAATCGGGGATAATGCAAATAATTTCTGTGAGTGCTCTCATGATTAAAGTGATCGGACGTCTAGCCAGCAGTCGAAGGCTCCGTAGTTCGCATACCGACAAGGCAGGGTGTAGCTGATTTTCATATTTGTTGCTCTATAAATCTAACAAGTCTCAACAAATTGAGTTAAAATAGAAGCTAGGCTTTGCTATTTGCAAACGAAAGTTTGAGCGCTTTTTGTAAAGAATATTATAGTTTAGCTTTTTTTCTGATTAAGGATTTGCAGATAGTTATAATACACTCAAAAAGAGCAGCCCTTGATAAAATAAAGAAAATCTGAAGACATTGCCAAAGCAGAAACAACCGTGAATAATATTATGTTTCAAATGTTCAGAACTTAAAGCAGATAACCAGAATAAAGCTTAGTGCCTGCAGTTATCAAACTTTAGAAACTGTTATTAGTTTGCAATATTCAACCTTGTTACTTTGGAGTGTTCCCCGTCGTGATGGTATATAATTCCGTTTGGTTTATGTCCGTGGTCGGAAGTCGTCATAGCGGTGCATTCACTCACTCACTTTGGCGTGTAAAAACTTTAAAACAGAAATATTGACATTACTTTTAATTCATTAAGTTTTTCTTAGATTTCGAATGTGAGATGATTGTACCAAGACCTGAATCTAATAAAACCTACGTAATTTTCAAACGAGGATTTTTTAGAAAGATTGCCCGCTTTCAGTAACCTTTCAGCCCCACAAGATTTTCGATAAGTTGTAATTTCATGAATAATTTTCTTTCATCCTATTTTTCAGAACGCTTAAAAACAGACTAGCAAAACATTTCATTTTTCCTTAGATAAATCCAATACGTCATCGTAATGTTTTCTGAAGACCACAAATAGGTAATGTGAGTATATCATTTATGCATATTTTATTGAGCTACAATCAGTATTTAAGATTCTAGAAAAATAATATACCAAAATACAAGGCAAAAAGCTTAGATTACGGCAAAGTAAAAAAATTATTTTTAGTGCCATTAAAAGGGAAATTTCCATGTTTTGTGTTTAGTTGAGCTCAGAAAATGACTGAAACAAAATATTGATTGCACCGTCGTACACTATTTCAACATTTCGTAAAGACCATCAAAGTTAGATTAAGGTATCTCCAATATCCGAAAGAAATCAAAGACATGCCGTTGTTTAATTTAGTGCGGATAGCGTTTCATTTTAAGTATTCTGCTGTCATAGGACAAAAACATTTTTACTACACATCTTTAAGCTCCAATATAACAAAGCACTGCAAAATGAAATTGAGAACATTCTTCTACAATTGACTTGCTTGGTCATTGACAGTATAACGGCTTTAATAAGACAACAGAAAATTGGTAAATATAAACAAAGATTTAAAAAAAATGGGTTCTTGCAACCTACATTTTAAAAGTGTAATAATTTTAAAGGGTAATATCTGATTTTGACTTACGATTATAGACAGTCTTCATAAGAGTACACAGGTTGAAAAGATAGTATTGGTAATTTGACTGTAATAGTTTCGAACTCAGCAAAAAAGAAAGGGAAAAAAAAAAAAAAAAAAACTTTAGCAAATACATGAAATTTTTAAAAACGCGTATCTCATAATAAATTTTTCTTTTTCAGTTTATTTTATATGTCATGGAGATCTGAGTATATTAAAATGGGAACATATGAAGTTCAAGAATGATTTGGTTGGTTTATTAGATTACGGCAAAGCACTCGAGGGCTATCTGTCCTAAGGGAGGGATGCCTTCGTGGACGACTTTCTAAGTGAAACTGGCTCGTATACACGTTACACATGGGGAAAACCACGAAAACACTCATGCAGCCAGCCCGTTAGCGGGACTCGAACCTCGGACCGAACTACCAGTGTTCAGCGACGTTACCGCTCGGCCGCTGGTGGGTCAGTTCAAGAATGAAGCATAAATTAACAATAAATGCTTCCGTCTGCTCAGTAGGTAGATGGGGTAGTCGAGTAGACGTTTTCAGCAAAGTACAAGAGTAACAGGAATGTGTAAACTAGAAGAAATTTTAAGTATAGTTAGTTATGTGTGTGTGTGATTATGGCAAAGCCTCGAGGGTTATCTGCCTAAAGGGAGAGATAGTCCATATTTAAAGACAGTTTTGTCATCTAAAATTGAAATGCTCATTTATTTCATTTTCATACTCTGCCACTGTTATATCAACACATCTTTTCTTTCCATAAATGGACTACACCAACTAATAGTAAAGTAGACGCTACTTAATTCATCAAGTTTACCCCCTGCCATTTTGTTAATATAAACCGAATGATAACATTAAACGATGTTAAAAAATATTCCTCAAATCAACAACAGAATTTAACCAATTTAATATAAGTAGAGCCACGTATATACTTATTTTCACGGTATTTTTCATTGTTAACAATGAAAAAAGTAGTTATTAATGTGGTTTGTCTTCAAGCGTTATGCAAAATTTCATTTATGAACTGTATCTAATGTTTCATGAAATTATTTGACAGACGTTACTTCCCTGATCTTAATACTCTGTGAGCGTTCATTGTATCAGCATTTACAGGGGAATTCGCCTATTTCATCCTTACATTCTTCAGGAAGTTTGTTGCATGATGTGCTTGTATTTCTTTCAGATTGCGCGTGGCAGGTATCTTGTGTTATCTTCTTCTGTCTGAAGAAGACAGACTTGTGTGTGATCGTTCTCGAAATCAATAGAGTTATTAGAACTCTTTGCCAAACTAAACAAAAGGCCACTATTTTGCTTAATTTTAAATGATTGACTAAAGACGTAAGCTCTTACTTGTTGATATTTTTCAGTCATCTGGCAATTTTTAAAATTAATTTTGACTCATTTGGAAAAATTATTTCGGTTTGAAAATTCGTTCTGTAGCATTTTTATAACGTTAACTGAATTATTTATCACAATAAGTTTTCGTATATAAAGGGGCGTGATTTGGGCAATTTGATAACAGTATCCGAATGATAAGATTAACCGCTATCACATCACGTGGCGTATGTTATATTCTTAAAATATTTAAATTTGGGTCGGAAATGAAATCTCAAACAGTTAGGAAGATGCGCTGAGCGATTTACCTATTTTATCGATTATCTTAAAATTCACATCTTCATTCTGACTTGTTTTGACACTTACCTGTTTTCGAGATATGTGGATAATTTTCTCGTTAATCTTTTTTTCTTGGATAAATTTTTCATTCATACAAAACTTCCTAAATACTGCACAGGAAGGAATGGAATTATACACTAAATATGCTTAAACCTAATGCTTATTTACACAAAATCTCAGAGCGACTTATATGCCCGGAAAACATAGTATATCAGGGCTTTTCAAACTTTTTTTCAAGAAGGGACCACTTTTATGGATTGAATTGGATTATTCAGTTATGACAAAGCACACGAGGGCTATCTGCCTAAAGGGTGGGATGCCTTCGTGGAGGACTTTGTAAGGGAAACTGACTCGTATACACGTTACATATGGGGAAAACCATGAAAACGCCCATGCAGCCAGGCCGCTCGCGGGATTCGAACGTCGGACCAAACTACCAGTGTTCAGCGTCTTTACCGCTCGGCCGCTAGAGGGCCACCACTTTTATGAATTAGAATATTCTGAGGACTATGTTACTCTTGTCCCCTTCGAAAGCAGTTTTTAGCGGATGTATTTATACCACTATATTTATATTTTAAAATTACTCTATAATATTAATGGAGGAAAAGTTTAATAATTCAAAGTATTAGAATTTGGATAATCGTGATCGCATTAACTGAAAATCAAATGAATAATGTTGATACTAACATAGATAGATGAATCTGCCGATACCTGCACAGCTATTTTACGTTTGAATGTATGCTTGTAAGAAGCACTACAGTCATAGTGCTTTAAGTCCTTCTTTTGCTGTTAAAACTAGAGAGGAATGTCTGTAGATAGGATAACTGTAAATTTCATAAATTTCATGCCAGTCTTGAGAGAAAAAATTGATAGACTTGTGTAATTTGCCATTTTGCGATTTTCAGCTACAGTCTGGTGTATGCTGTTAGTTTAAATTCTTCGTAGATTGAGAAAGTTTATCGTAGATTGAGAAAAGCTCCTGTTTGTTAACAAATATAATGGTTAAAACAACAGCCGCACTTATCTGCGGTTTCAAGTATTCGCTATGAATTTTGAAACGTATAAGCCATTTATATAGATTCACTGTTGTAAGCGAAAGATAGTAACTTACCCGTCTTTCTCTTTGTTCCCTGATCATGCGCGCTACAGTCATAAAAATTTCATCTATATTGACATCTTCTTTACAGCTGCACTCAAAAAAAGGAACATCACAGCTTTCTGCAATCTGCACCAGAAGAGAAAAAAATGAACATTGTCATTCAAAATGATTGAGAACAAAAGCAGTACTAAGCCTGCTCTGAGATGTTTTACAACAGCTACTTCGTTTGAATTACTGAAATGGAATAACATATAAAAGTTTAAGACCTGAATAAAAATGGTGCTACTTTGGTAGACGAGTGCACGGATTTTGGCGATTTTTAGCGATTTTTTGGCGATTTTCTTTTGGCGAGTAATACAACTTATGGTAAACCCATTGCTGGATAAGTTATTTATGGTAACCGATACTTTGTTGTCATTATATTTAAAAAATAATGTGTTTTATTGTGCATAAATTCTGTGTTTTAAATATTATTTATAGCTTCTAAATATTAAAAATCAATTTAATTTTGCATTTTTATTTGAAATAAAAATTTTATTGTTTATCATATTTTATGAAATTTTATGTTGTGGATGATGTAATCAATGACGTCACCTTACTTTACAAATAATTGGTTTTAATATGTATAAATTTAATCTAATGTTTTAAACATTATTTATGGCTGTTAAATATTAAAATACAATTTAATTTTGCATTTTTTTAAAAAATGATTTTATTATGTATGAATTTTTAAATAATTTTAATTCTAGGCGTGATGTAATAAGCTCTCTGATTGGTTATAGAATATTTGTGCATTAACGAGCTGTAATCAGCTCCCTGATTGGTTACTGACAATTTGTGCATTAATTGTTTTAAAATTTAATTCATATCTTCGAATTCCTTCAAAGATGTTATCTAAATTATGATTCCGATTTTTTGTGGTACTTATCAATAAACAACATGTTAAATGACTTAAAAAATGTAAGTACATATTTTCCTTTTATTTTATAATTGTATACTTCAATTTTTGTTAAAAAAATTTGATACACTATTTTCAAAAATTGCTGAGATAAATATTGCCCATATGTTTTAATGTTAATTATATTCTATATAACGTATTTTAAAGTATTTGAATTTAATAATATTCTAATTCTTTTAAATGTTGGTATGATGGGTTTTAATTCGATATTCAATTTCAGTAATATTTTAATCTAATTAAACGTTGGCACAATGTTTTTATAGTGGTGTTTTTATTCTCTTCTTTGCTATATGAAAGTAATAATAACCTTACTTTAGTATTTTATACTCATAGTAAATGTATTTATTTACACTTGCCTGCCATCTTAAAAAATGACATTTTCAATAAAAAATTAATCCATTACTTTTAACAATATTTATTTATTTATTTATTTTTTAAGTTTCGAATGCGTTACTATGCGTAAAAACAGCGTTTTTCAAGGTGGCTGACGTTTGTAAAAATCGCGCCAACAATTGCGCCAACGTAAATCGCCAAAAATCCGTGCAACCGTCTACCAAAGTAGTACCAAGAAAATATAAGGTAACATTTAATCTCTGTATGTATGAATTTCATTCGTAGTCTAATAAGCAAATTAAAAATGCAGCTTATAAAATTTGCAAAGAAGAATTACCTTCCTGCCTTGGTCCGTGTCAACTACTCGTAAATTAGAACTATCGCATTTATTTCCTACTAAAACTTTCACAACATCCGGTGAGGCATTCTGGAATGAAACACGAAAGATAAGCTGCTACGTGCTTGAAAATGTTGAAGTACGTTATTCAGAACAAACAGAGTAACTGAAACATATAGACATGCATTTACATTACGCAAATTTAGAAATCAATCCTGAAAACCTAATTTTTGACATTTAAAAATTCTTAGTACAGTCTTTCCAAAATTTTTGCAGAACTAAGTAATGTAATACTGAGTTACTCTATCACATGTTTAACATCCATATGACTATTATATAAGTATTGTGAATGCCAGAAAATAAGGACTTCCGCTCACGTCAGTCAAGTACGAAGAGAAATAGGTTAACGCAAAATTAAAAAATAATTAGGAAAAACAATCTTACATTCCTGTAGATTTTTAGGAATAAAACTCTGTAGATCTCGAGAGCTATCAGATTAGAGACTCCTCTTCTTCTTCACACCCAAAACATATTTAGGACCAACTTAATTTTTTTACCTTAATTTTAAATAAGAACCTTAATTTATCTTGCATTCAACTTCACAAACAGGCACTTTAGAGGGCTGTTATTGGATATGATATAAAATCTAATTTATGTTTAATTTATGATATAAAATATAATTTATCTAATTAAGTGTTTACTGATATGTAATTATCCTTCAAATTATAAACTTTAACTTGCTTAAAAAGCTGAACGATAAGCAATCAGTTTCACGATAGGCAATAAGTACACTAATTCTAAGCTTTATTCTGTTTTAGCTATTTTTCTGAATGTGTAATTTAAGATACAGCTGGTCATAAAAAACTTTCCCAATCTAGGAACTTAGCGACTTATCCGCTCAACCAATCGAAATGAAATTTCAGATATTGTTATTTGAAGGTATATATTCAAGATTCTGAGGATTTTAAACAAGAGAACTCTCACTATTATGGTTTCAATGAAAAAAATTTCCAAATTTTCGAATGGCAACACCGGCTTTTTTCCTGATCAGCGTGCTGGGAAACAATAAATGGCGTAGGAACGATGCATGTATGACGAAAATTGCTAGCTTAAAACATTTGCAAAGAAGAGTATTCCCCAAACTAGGAACTTAGCGACTTATTCGTTCAACCAATCGAAATAAAATTTCAGATATTGTTATTTGAAGGTATATATTCAAGATTATGAGGATTTAAAACAAGAGAACTCTCACTATTATGGTTTCAATGAAAAAAAATTTCGAAATTTTCGAATGGCAACACGGGCTTTTTCCTGATCAACGTGCTGAGAAACAATAAATGGCGTAGGAACGATGCGTGTATGACGAAAATTGCTAGCTTAAAACATTTGCAAAGAAGGGTATTGTAAAGGACGAATGGCAACACCAGAAAAGGCGAGGGAAAAGACTTTTATTGGAATTACAAGTTCTCAACGTGCCCATCTTCGCAGACCAACACGCATTGCACACGGGAGATTGTTGACAACAATATAAACGTAACATCCGAGGAGGAATCTATACAACTTCACATTTTATATCATCTTTAATTTCTGATAAATATCGTGGATTTATTGTGTACACCTTAGATTTCAGAACTATACATTCATCGAAATGAAGTAGGGGGATAGTGATGGCCATCTAACTGCAAAGTTATGAGAGATGACTCTATTTTAAACTTTGTGCCCATTGAAAACTTGAAATTCAAATAAAAAAGTTGTAATTCCCTAAAAGATTTTCCCCCTTTCCTCTCTGAAGCTGTCATTGGTTCTTTGCAATGCTCTTCTTTATAAATGTTTTACGCCGGCAATTTTCATTGTTCTTATGCCATTTATGGTTTTTTTAATCCGCTGATCAATTTGCGCAGGAAAAACGTTGGTCTCGCTATTCGAAAATCCTGATTATTTTCCAATGTAACCTCAATTGTGAGAGTTCTGTTGCTTTAAATCCTCAGAAGCTCGAGCGGACACCTTCAAATAACAATATCTGAAATTTTATTCCGATTGCTTTAGCGGAGTTTAGCTCTAAAGGAGGAAGTTTTTTTTTTATGACCGCCCTATATGTTAAATTATAACATGACTAGTTGATAATTTTTATGAATATTTGTGGCATTATATTAATTAATAAAATTATTTTTAATAATAAATATTGTCTACCTTGTAAAGAATCGTTTATCTTGTAAGGTTTTACTTTATGCTAACCAGTTATTTTTAGTTTGACTTTCCTGTTTCTCCTGATTTCAGTTTCCTGCCGGAGGAATGTTAATTTTGTGTGACGTAGATGTAAATTTTAAACGTGTTTAAGCAGTATTTAATCTGGTTTCAAAAGTTCAGTAGAGTAATAGCGGACTTAGTTCCGATGCTTATGCTGCGAGATTAAAATTAGCTCTCTATTTAGGTGTTTGACACCTTCCAGTTTATACCATGGGTGTCTAAACTATGATCGTTTGAGGGCTGCATTGCAAAGGGAAAAAAATTGTGGGGCCGCATTGGAAAGAAAAAAAAATTGCGGGCCCACACATACAATATTTTTAAACAAATTGAAATAAAAATGAGCTCTATGTTGCTTTATTAAAATAAATTAACTTCTTTTTATGATTAATTTTTTAATTTGAATTAGATATGTATAGGTACATATTTATTATTAATTTGTAAAATTTTTGTTTCATTTAGTTTGGATTCCATAAAGATGGAAAAAATTCAAAGTAATGAGATGGATGAATTTGCTTTTGTGGAGCAAGCAAATCGATATCGGGTTCAATAGACGAGGTTGTAATTCTTAACGCATTTGAAAGATGTTTGTCAGTGATCTTTGCCCTATTTTTGTTTTTTATATGCTTCTTTCTTGGAAATAATTGTTCCCAAATATAGGTGCCAAAAAAGTTGAAGACATTAATAAAGCATGATTGTAAAAATTAGAATATTTATCGAGGGGTAGGTAATCTTTATAAAAATTCCAGTAAGGAAACATTTTAAAATTTTTCTTTCAGTTGAATGTCAATTTGCAGTTGACATTCAACATAGCACCACGACATGAGTTAGATTGAGTTGCAACAGCATCACGACATACTAAGATGTTTTTATTTAAATTTTTATTTTAAAATAAATGCCAACTAATCTATTATAAATGAATCAAATTGAAACATTTATTTAAAAAAATGTTTAAACTTAAATACTTTCATAATTTGCGTTTGGTCCGCATTTTAAAGACTTTTGAGCCGCACTTTAGACACCCATTGTTTATATTGATATTCCTCGGCTCGGCGTTGCTGTGTGCAGTCGGTTTAGCGTTAGTTTAAGCTAAAGGAGCCTGTCATTAATTTGTTAGTGATTGTTACATTCTTATTTTCCGTTACGTAGCCATACAAGTGGTGGTGATTTGAGAGCACAAAGTTTGTGCATCTGTTTTAAATTAGATTTAAGTAAAAAGGTTATTTAAACCTTTCATCTACAGTATTTATTCTTAAAGACATAGCGAGAATTCGCTACCTAGTCTTCGACATAGGGTTTAAGAGTGTATGTTCCCTAAGAATACACGAAGACGCTATAATCTTTGCTATTATATAAACGAAACAAAAATTAAAAAAAAAAAAAAAAAAAAAAAAAAAAGCGAAAATGCTTAAAAAGCCGATAAGCTTTAAACTTTTAAGAAATTTAACCCATCGATTTTAAAAGAATGCCCGCAGGAACAAGCCCCTAGAATATTTTCAGATTACTTAAGAATCTCTAAAATGAGAAGCATATGAACACTTTGAATTACTTGTCCCTAATTTGAATATTGAGTTAGGTTAGGTTATTTGAATATGGCAAGGAGCACAAGAGTTATTTGCGAAGGCCTTCGTGGAGGAGTTTCTGAGGAAAATTGGCACATATTCGCATTACACATTTGAGTAGTGTTTCTATTCTGGCTGCACTTAAAAAGGTGAATGTCTGTAATTCATCCGGGGTATATCATTATATTCGATTTTTCGTGGTAAATTTTTGGCAAAGTTTTGTCAGAAGGAATAAAAATTTACGGCTAACTTCTTGTGGAATATATGGTAAAAAGGCCGCGGATACCTTTGCCAAGAAGTGCACACACATCTTAACAACTGGATCTAGCAGGGACATTTACCGATCTGCGTTAGAAAATTCTAAACATTTATTTGGGAGGGGTTTGAGCTCGGAGTTACTCAGTCTATCAGATTACATCACTTACTTCAAATAATTGTTAATAAGTCAAAAGACCAACCCGCACGTTACTTACGTATTAACGCAACCACCTTAATAGAAGTCGCTAAAAGAAGTCGCCAAATTTTCAGAATGTGCCAAACTCTGGCAATCATGCGCATAACAATTCTTCAGTCAAACAATGCCGCTATTTTCGTATGCCATTTTTTTTTGGGGGGGGGGGGTTGTTGTTGTATTCCAAGTTCCAACGTTTTTTTTTTTTTTTTTTTTTTTTTTTTAAATCAAATCTTGATATTTTTTGCATTAAATTTAGTTTTAAAGTAAGAGCTTGTAAAATTTACCAGTAAAAGAAGAAACTGCGATAAAATTTCTGCAAAATTCAGCAGAAATACAGAGTTTTTTTTTAAAAACTTTCTAAAGAGAATGCGTTTCGTAGATAGCCGCTATTTCCTCGGTTTGAAAGTCGTCCATTCTCCACAACTTTCTGATGATGCTCTTTTAAGCGAAAATAGATAACTGTGTTCTTCGGGAGAAGAACAGACAAAGAAAAATGTAGAAAGGTTTGCTTAAGAATGTAAGTGTTTTATTTTTTTAATGTAGCATGTAATCTTTATTTATTAAATAAAATTCGTACTTTAAACTGCTAAAGTATATTTTCTTTTCATATCCTGATGATGTTTACCGATCGATAGTTCGGGAATCTTTCTTTAAAAGGGCGCGAAAACCACCAGCTTGCATTCGATAAGTAACTTCTGCCTTTACATCTGTAAAAAATCGCCAAATTGCCGCAAGATGGTTGCGTTAATACGTAAATACCACCCACACTATAACCTATCCCATATAAAAATTTGCATGTATTTGCGGTACAAGTGAATGCAGATTTCCGAAAAATTATTATGCTTGAGAACTAATAAAAATTTGAAAATATATATTTTAATCTTCTAAAGCAGGGATGTCAAACTCATAGGTACACTTGGGCCAAACAAACAAGGTTTAACTTTAGGCGGGCCGAAAAAAAAAAAAAAAAAAAAAAAAAAAAAAAAAAAAAAAATAGGCGTGCCGCAAAAATAATAAAGCAATATATCGTACAAAACTATGATTGGAAAACTGAGACCATGAGGTTCGGCCACATTCGGCTATCGGGGGATGCGTACAAGTTCTGAGTGCACGTGTCCCCCAAAAGCCGAAGGTAGCTGAACGCAAGCTATTCACACGCATTTGTAATTTAAGTAGTGAGTGTGTCAGCTCGCTGTGAGTAATCTAACAACACTGAATAAATTATCGTTAATTACTTAGCAGTAAACATTTCATTTTTTTCTTCGTCGATATGTTATTTTATTATTATATATTATTATTTGCCAATATATTGACCGGGCCGCAAAAATATTTGTTGTGGGCCGCATGCTGCCCGCGGGCCGCGAGTTTGACATCCTTGTTCTAAAGTTTCCTTAGCACATCTATTTAGCGACTCTTCTCAGCCAGCATAGGGTTAACAGTAAACTAATAAGGCATAATAAAATGCATTCTGCATAGAGCTTGATATGATGTATTAAATAGTTATTAAATGCATACACTAAGAGCGTGGTGTAATAATAACAAAAACCCGAATTTAAGCAAGGCTGTGGAGTCAGAGTCATGGAGTCGGAATTGGGGAGATTTTGGGGTAAAAGGAGTCGGATCTGGAGTCGCTAAAAACAGGTCGACTCCCACTCCAGTTTTTGTTGGACAGTTTGAATTTGAAATGGAATTAAAAGGAATTGAAGAAAATTAATGACAAGCTGAGTTATTATTTTTATTTATGAACTGTATACATTAATAAATAGTTATTTGCTATTTTATTAACCTATTAATAAATAAATATAAGGATGGATGTGATATTTGCCATCAGCAATTAAACTGATTAATTTAGTTACAAATCTTACTGGTAAATTTAGATAAGCAGCAATAGCAGCAAGAACTCACGAAATTGATGCCATTCTTAGGAAGCGAGCAGGAAAAGGAGCAATTATTTATCAAGCAACGCGATAAGGAAGCACATATTGAAGAGCTTTTAGAATTAAGAACTTTTTTAGAAGAAGCAGATAATCCTAATGTTTCACTAACAGAAAGACTGTGGAATGATCTTGCAGAATTGGAAACTCTTCTTTCTACACCGTATATAGCCACAAAAAAAGCTGCAATCTGAAGAATTGACAGGAGGCGAGAATGGAAGAATGGGATGTTTGTTCTTTCTGAAATGGAGGGTTTATTGCAGAAGGAATCATTTCTTCAATAAAGAAAAGAGAAACTAGTTGAGATAAGAGATCCTGATGGGTTCAATATACGTAGATCCGAAACACCGAATTTTCTTGGATAATGAACAAATTAAAAAGGCAAAGAAAGTCATCTATGAACTTCATAAATAATGAAATTATTCTCAGAACAATTGGTGAATTTGAATCCGGACAGTCAAACTGCAGACATTGAAATTGAGTCTCTATCATCCTCTTCTAGTGACGAATTGGATTTTAAGAAATATTTTTGGATAATATTGAAAAGGCTAAGACAAAGCAAATGAAAATAAAAAACCAAGAGCCTTTAGATATAGAAATGAAAACATACAAGCAAGATTTCTACACGGCCTTTGAAGAAATAGAGAAATATGATCGCGCTTGCAAGATACCTCTTTTAGAACTTATAAAATTATATCCTGAAAAGTTAAAAAAAGTAAAGCCCTAACAGTAACAGCTCTTCCTCCTACTAAAGTTAGTGTGGAAAGACTCTTCTCAGCTCTGAAGTTTATCAAATTGGATCTATGGGTCTCCAACAAAGAAGATCTTGCCGAAGCTATACTGTTTCTTAGAAATAACTAATGCCAGTTATTCTGTTTCATAATATAAATTTCATAATTAATATAAATAATTTGCTATGTCATCAATTTTTTTCTGTAACATCTATTACTTCTTTTATATTAAAAAATAAGCTGTAACCCATGCGTATATGTTTACATATACGCATGAGTATTTACATTTACATTTACAAATAAAATTATTGTGTAAAATTATTATTATCAAAATAAGTGTTCTATATGAACAAGTAGTCAAAATAAAATATTGTAAACAAACTAAAAGTCAAAAGGAATATAGGGCCTTTTCTTTAATGTAACAATGCAGTAAACTTCATACAAAAAGTTATTAGTAATTCTTTTTTATTTACTCCGGAGACTTGAATTTTGTAACTGCTATTTCTCCTGAATAATAATAAATGGATCCTGTTTTTTAAACTTATCGTCTGATTATTTAAGCTACGACTAAAGCTGATACATCACAAGGAGTCGTCAGGATGGGTGTACCCAAAAGGAAAATAATTCCAATGGAAGAGAAAAAACTTTTTTAAGTGCAAGTTGTGTCTGTTTTTTACAACTGAAGAACTGTGAATTGTGATACAGCTTTTCTTCGAATTTTGAGCGCGTCTCATAGTTAGAACCGCATGATTTGGATATCGTCTGCTGGAAAGAAGTGAAGAATTTCAATCATTTATGCTGTGTTTTTTTATTTATTTATTTATTTTTGTGCAATTGAAGAATTGTGAATTGTGATACAGCTTTGTTGTCGCAATTTGAGCGCTAAATTTAAGGGCGAAGTTATATATTTCCTTAGTATATTTTTTTAAATGATCTTCGGAATTTATAAGTCACATAGGTTTGCAGAAATCTGTTTTAATTGCAAAAATCGTCTTGTATTTGGGAAAATGCGTTACTGGCGCTGAATAAATCACTGGATAACATACCTTTCTCCCTTTGAATATTAAACAGGTGTTAAAATTAATATGTAAGCTAAGTAATTTATAACAAAAATATTTATTACCTCTTCTACATTTCTGAACCAGTATGAAAGATGATTAAAGGAATCCATGTTGGTTACATCGTACATCACAAGAATGCCCTGAAACACATTATTCATAATTAGCTTGCATAAACTAGGTACTAATAATTTTAATAAAATAAGAAAACTTTAAGTTATTAGGGGCTTATTATCCCTGTCAAAGTTAATAGTAAATAAGTATCCTGTTACTGAAATTTAAATCCGATATCGTTACAGTATCAACATGAAACTCGAACTCTGGACTGAAATAAATCCTTTCTCTTAAAACCAGTAGAAACTACCTGTCAACGCAGATTAATTTTCACGGGATAGGTGTTGAAGCCTATCGAATCACTTCAGGTAATTTTTATATTTACTGCATTTACTGGAAATGTCTGCCATTGGCTGGAAAGCTTGAAAATGGATGCTTACCATGGCTCCTCTGTAGTATGCTGTCGTTAAAGTGCGAAACCTCTCTTGTCCTGCCGTATCCCTAGAAAAAAGTAATAAAACATGATTTACTTTTCCTCAAGATTAAAATTAAATGATAATAAGAAATCATAAGAATGTTTCTGTGTTGAAATAAAAAACAATTCCTTTCCTGTGAAACCAAAGATTTACTAAGCTTCAGAAGAAAATGAAATAAACTGCGTGAAAATAAAATTATCATGTATGCTTGTAAGGTATTTTTTCCTTCCTTTCCGCATGTCATCGTGGTGTCCTCGCGGGACGCGTATTCGGGAGGTCTAAGGTTCGAATCGACGGCATTACGGATTTCTTCAGTTTCCAGACACCGAATATTAAAAAACAATCTAAAAACTATACCTGAAATTTTTCTGAGGTTGAAACCATTGACAATGGTTGGTTACTCAGTGGTTAAGAAAGATGGTGACTGCAAAGTGATAGACCCGATTTCGAAGAGTAACACTTGAATTGTTTTGATTACCTTATCTACATGTAAAAGCATGCTAGAAATCCAGCCCAAACCAGTATCTTACGGCCTATCAAAGTCCTTTTGGATAGGGGGCCCACCAGCGGTCGAGCGGTAAAGTCACTGAATACTGGTAGTTCTGTCCGAGGTTCGAATCCCGCGAACGGGCTGGCTGCATGGGCGTTTTCGTGGTTTTCCCCATGTGTAACGTGTATACTAGTGATGGGAAACTTCGGTACTTTCTTGTACCCGGTACGAGAGTAACGGGTACAGACAAGTACCCGGTACAAAATACCCGTTACTCAAGTAACCGTTACTTTGAAAAGTACCGAAAACCGATTTCAAGTACCGAGTACCCAAGTAACGATTTGGAGTACCGAAGTAATGAAATACCGGAGTAACGGTTTGCTGTACCGGAGTACCCTAGTAACGGTTTGATGTACCGGAGTACCCTAGTAATGGTTTGGAGTACCGAAGTACCCTAGTAACGATTTGGACTACCGAAATACGCAGCTAACGATTTTGCGCACTGAAGAACTCTGCCACGTCACCACGTGTTTGATTTTATCTGTACGGAGTAAGATTTTGAATATCAGAAAACATGTCAACTACGGAAGTGTCTGAGGAGCAGGCCATTCATGGACACAAGTAGAGCATATCACCATTTCGCAAATACAACCAGATACTACTGTCCTCGTACCAAAACCGAAGTGAGCTGAACCCTCATCGATCCTCCAGTAACGAATACCGAAATACCGAGAAGAGACGCATATTTTCGTTACAAAGTAGCGAATACCGAAAAGCACCCGTTTCGGTACAGAAGTAACGAATACCGAAAAGTACCCGTTTCGGTACAGAAGTAACGAATACCGAAAAGTGCCCGTTTCGGTACAGAAGTAACGAATACAGAAAAGTGCCCGCTTCGGTACAGAAGTAACGAATACCGAAAAGTACCTGTTTCGGTACAGAAGTAACGAATACCGAAAAGTACCCGTTTCGGTACAGAAGTAACGAATACCGAAAAGTACCGATTTCGTAACTGAAGTACTTGGATGTACCGATTTTCAGTACCCGTTACAAAATACCCGGTTCGGTAATACCGACTCATCACTAGTGTATACGAGCCAGTTTCCCTTAGAAAGTCCTCCACGAATGCATCCATTCCCTTAGGTAGATAGCCCTCGAGGCTTTGCCATAATCACCCACACCCACACCCTTTTGAATAGGAGCGCTGAGCAGTGGTAGTTTGATCCGGTTCGAATTCCTCAAATGCACGGCAGTTTTTGTAGCTTTAGCAAAGGGTGACATAAGTTTGAGCCAATTTTCCTGAGAAAAATCTCCATGAAGTCATTCCTGCCATTAGATAGTTACTCCTTGTGAATTTTACTGGCAACCGAGGGGTAAGGTTGCTGAACACTGGTAGTTCGCCCTGGTATCGACTACCGGCGAACAAACTAGCTGATGCATGGTTGGTTTTCGTCTCGCCATGTGTAACGTCGATACGAGCTAGTTACCGTTAAAATGTCCTCCAAGGAAACATCCTTACCTATAGGCAGATAGCCCTTCGTGTTGCTTTGCCTTAATCAATTAGCCTAACCTAACTTCATGTATTTTACATGATTACAGGAATTTACAATTAAATAGTAAAACGCATAAGCAAAATAAACCAACTATTCGATCCTAGACGTCTCTTATACACCAGTACTAGGTGATTCTGATGGAAACGACAATACCAATACTTTCAAGACGAACATCTTCGAAACTGATTGAGCGACCATCTAGTTTTATAGCTCAATTCTGGTGAGTCTGAAATTGTTTTGCGTAATTTGTAATAATAATTGATTGTAAGAAATCAACAGGACGTTTCTGAATTGAAATAACAGTTTTATTTGTGTTGTAGCAAAATCTTAGTTTCCATATCAAATAGAAAAATTTTTTTATCACAAAAAAGAATTTTCATGTTAAAAAATTTAAGGGCATTCTCAGAGCAACGGATGACCAATTCCAACATGGAAATTGCTTTGAGGATTGCCGTTAGGGAAAATGTCGTGCAGTTTACAACACACCGATTACGCACTTCGTCGCAAATTACCAAAAGCAGCTGCCATATATAACATATTTCTAGGTTTCCATAGCTCTTGCAAGCTCTACCGATTATTATCAATCAGCATCCTAAGTAGTTGTGAGCAAGGGTCTCTTTCGAAGAATTTGAATTTATACAATCATAGTATGCATTTCCTTTCAGAAGTTTCCTTCGGAAACATCATTTGAGCCTGATTGACCGTTTGTAACAATAGCTGACGGTTGGCCGGATGTCTATCACAAATGTATAGACAGCAAATCGCTTTACCACCAGCTATGCATCATTATTTGTGAGCACACTTTTGGACTGCATTTATGACATGTGTTAGCAATGAGTTGCAATATTCAGAGATATAGAAGATCGAAAGAATATATCTATTTTAAGTTAAAGCAGGCAACAGTTAAGATATAACTCCATTTTTTTATTTTTTGGTATAGTCGAATTCTACAATCCATTTACTTTAATCATTATTGCATGCCGTTCAACTACCTTTTTTTTTTCCTATGCGATGGAAAAAATGTACGTCAGAGCCATTCACCACTAACGTCGAGTGTCTTAAGACATGAATAAATTTCAAAACCGTATCTCAGGATAAATGTTGATCGATTGATTGTATGATTTTATTAATTAACTGATTAAGGGAAAGCAACTAGATGGCTATTTGGCTATGGGGAGGGTTAGGCCTTTGTGGATAACTTTTTAAGGAAATTGCTCATTTTTACATTACACATGGGGAAAAACACGAAAACTTCTACCTTTAAGCCAGTTCGTTCGCCGGGATATGAAGTCAGGTCGAGCTGACAGTCTTCAACAATTTTACCTCTCTCTCACTAGTGGCAAAACAAATAGTTTCTGTTACCTCGAATAATAATGAAGAGGAAACACGCGTACACTGAAAAAAGGACTATTTCCCTTGTGGCGCCGAATGCGTGGAATCTCGCTAAATAATGAGAATTATAAGGTGAACAATTAAGTAGTTAGGTTCATAAGAAAACACATATACTCGAGTAGTAGATAATCAACCTTTAAACATGCATCGCAATTAGTTTTTGCAGATCCAGTATGCTCACTGAGAGAATATTCACCTTTTTGTCAACGTAAATAAACGGTTTTTGTCCTGTTGTAAAACAGAAACATTTCGGGTTAGGAAACTACAAGCATTAACTTTAACTACCTATGTGGTTAATGGATCTTCATGTTTTTATCCTAGACATTAAATTATATTTACTTTTTACTTCCTTGTACGAAGTAAAAAGGAAGTATTGTAATCGCGAAAAGTTTCAGGCAGCATATTTCAACAAAAATATCCATTTTGACCGCTATCGAATGCAATTTAACGATGTTTTTGCGTCATATCTGTACCTAAAGACAGAATAAAATACTCTTTTCCTTCAAAAAAATTATAAAACTTCTTTAAAATGAATTCTGAAGAGAATTTTTCGTGGCGTCTGTACGAACGTATGTACGTACGTGCGTACGTACGTATCTCGCATAACTCAAAAACGAGTAGCCTCAGAACGTTGAAATTTTGTATATAGGACTGCTATAACATGTAGATGTGCACCTCGTATTTTGGTTGCAATCGGCCGCACCAAACGTATATAAATATATTTATATATAACCCACTCTATTACCCGACTCAGTGGGATCTCAGTTTCTTTACTCTTATATGTTTGTAAATTGTACATTTTTTTCTTTAAAAATGATTGAATTATGTTATTTTTACCTTCCGGTTAAGGATTTTATGCCTTTAGTAAATCTGTGTGCAATAGTTTAGAATTATCAGCAATTTTAAAGTTGTTTAATTGCCGCTAAGCCTGTTTTAATGCCGGCCATTGATGTTTACATTTGAAACAGGAGACTAGTGGATTTGTTGCCAATCTAGAGAAACGTAGCTTCGCAACAACAAAGATAACGCGTTCATTTATTACTACCAATTAAATCATGCTTAATTCTTTCTGGATTTTTTTCGAGGAAATAAGCGTTTGAAATTTACTTCGTAATTTTTAATATAGATATTTTGAGTTTTTATGTATTTTTGCCTTCTCGCGAAGTGAGAACTGAATTAATTCAATGAGAAATACTCAATCGTCTGTGAAAAACTATTTCTTTTTTGTTTTATTTGCTTAATTTCTTTTATACATCGTTCTAGCTTTATTATAGTACTTGAATAGAACATGTGGCAACGATTAGATAATTCTTTAAATGATATACATTTTGTGCATTCTGAGTTATAATATGAATGAAATATAATACTGTTAAGTAAACCTAGCGCCAGAGTATCGCTATGGTAAACAAAGTGAATTTTAAAGAATGCATTTATTCTATTGTGGTTTATGCGCTGTCGGCGAAGTATAGGTTTAATCCAATCTAATAAGTTTAAATAAAATGCAAGAAAAAATGCGTATAATTTAATATTCCGTACAGGGATGTCATGTGGTGTACACATCAGATGTTTTTTATCTCATAGAAGCCACTG